CCAGCGTCACAAAGTTAACTGATGGAGATGAAGTTGCCTTTCAGTCCTTCTACATAAAACACGTCCTCGAGCTTAATCGTCTTGCATTAAAAAGTTCCAACGCCTTTAACAGCTCTTCCACTATTGTCACCAAAGGTTACCATTAGACCATCCTTCTCTGCAAAATTTGTTAAGAGGGACTTGTAACCGGTCAAATGTCTAGAGCTTCCACTGTCTAGGTACCAAGTTTGACCTAGATTTGGACTTGATCCTTTACCAGCGTGAGAACCATCAACGTCACAAATGCCATCAGGGGAATCATTTACAAGATCTATGAGACCCTTAACATTCAGTGCCTCATCTTTAGATGTCCCCTCTTCATCCACCTATTCTTCATGATCCTCTTGTTTTGCAATGAAATCTTTTGGCGGAGAGGTGTTTTCCTTCTTCATATGAGCCACCATCGTTTTGTACAGAACTTCATAGTTCTCAGGACTTTGGGCTTCTTTCTTCTCCTTGCAATCCATGGCAAAGTGGTCAGGACTCCCACAATTAAAGCAGTTACCTGAGTTTTTCTTATCTGAAGAGGATTTTATCGCTGAGCTGCTTCCCTTGAATTGAGCTATTCTAATCCCGTTTGCTCTGCTCTCTTCATATCGCTTGACGATAAGTACAACGCTGGCAACAAGCTCATCAGATAGATAATCACTCTCTTCACCCTGGTCTGAATTATCTGAGTCGTTGATGTGTTTTATTGCTTTCTTTCGAGACATCAGGGGAAAAAACTTTTCCTTGCTCGAGTCCTTCCTGATTCCCTTACGATGAGCTTTGGTCTCTTCATAATTTTACATATTACCGAACAACGAATTCATATCCATGGAATCGATCTTCTTACCGTTCTTAAGAACATCAGCGTGATGTTACCAACTTTTCTCAATAAAATCAAGAAACTTCAGAACCAACTATGATGAGTGCTTAACGATTCCCAGCCTGTGCATATCATTAAACAAACAATTAAACCTATTAAAGGTTTGGGTAAGAGACTCACGTTGTTAAACAAAGAAATGCTCGTATCTCCAATTAAGATTGTTGATGGTCACAGCCTAGACTTCCACGGTGCCTTCATAAGCTACTGTCAGCGTGTCCATCATCTCTTGTGCTAATTCATAATTATGTACGAGATGATACACGTGGTATGAAAGAGAGTTTCCAATAGCAGCCCTAGCTTTCACATCAAGACTGAGCAGTCTTTTGTCATCGTCATCATAACTTGTTGTTGGCTTTTGCTTCAGGGGACCAACGAGAGCGTTGTTTACCATGGGTTGGTATATAGGGACATGGGGACCTTTTTCAACAATATTTTTCATCTCATGGTCAGTGGTTCAAGAACCACCATGGCATTGGGTTTCCACATGGCGAAGTTGTGTTCATCGAAGGGAGGAATTTTGTTGAGACCAAAGTATTTGGAATTCCTTGAAATCGACATAATAACTTGAGTGTATCGAAAACCTTCTCTGATACCAATTGAAGATTTGTATTCGATCGGATACACTTCAAGTATGAATAAGAAACGTAAAACTAGTCTAAGCAAAATAATCAACAGAAAGTAAATAACACAGAATTTCTCCAAATTGTTCCTTTCACCAAGAAAAAAGTTTTTGTCTTCACCAAGAAGACGGGTTTGTCACAAAGATGGTTAACACAAAGCCACAAATCACAACATTAGGGTTTGCCCTAATGTTGTATATATACTAATCTATACATGTATATCCCTTGATTGAAGGGATTGCGTCTAATCTATACTAATGATTAGATCATTATCACCAAGATAATGGATTTGATATATATTCTATATTTATCTATAATAACTGCCTAATATACAAAATATTACAATCGGATAACTATACTAAGTGTCGACGTTGGTAACCTTGATACGTTGGCGATGTCGACGTCTAGAAGCTGACGCTGATAGAACAGTGTGTCGTGTGTTTGACTCATCAGATCATAAAGTGTGACCTTACAGTATGAGTGCAACATTCTCTATCATATCAATACCAAGAATCATTCATTCAAATCACTCTCTCTTTTACATTCTTATTGTTCTCAAGTTACTTTACTTTACATTGTTCATACTTGTTAATCATTTTATATCTTGAATACTTTGTTGAATATCTCTATTATGAGACAAGACTTTGACTGGATCTTCTTAGCAGCAGACATTGATCTTAAGTTAATTCAAGTTTTGAGTTTTCAAACCTTGTCCGCACAGATCGTTTCTTGCTTTCACAATTTAAGCTTAGAGTCTTTCTGCTGAGAGAAACTAGACTCACATACAGTTCTTTGGGTATTGATCTCACCTTTAAACGATGTTTCGATATTTAATTACGATTTTACAATATAAGAACAAAATAATGGTTTTCATCAATGATTTCAATCCTAGGGTTAAGGTTTTCAATCCAAACACCTAACCCTATAACTAGGGATGTTATTCGGGCCGGAACCGAACCGAACCGACCCGAAACCAAATAACCCGAGAACCGAATAAGGGTAATTGTATGAACCGAAAACCAAATCAAATAAGCAATATGGGTTCGGTTCGGTTCGGGTATTATTCGGTTCAGTTCGGTTCCGGCCCGAATAACCCAAATAACATGTACAAGATGACTAAGAACCTATTCTAACAGAAAAGAACCGGATAAACCGTATTACGATTGTATAACTCGAATAGCCCAAATAACATTTATAATGTGATTATAAATATTGTATTTTGTATGACTTTTGTAGCTTATGATTTCATAACAAATCTTTTAAATAAACAAATTTTTTAATTAAAAATATTACAAAGTATATATAATTGTTTCAAAGGTGCAAAAAGAGTTAGAATTTGTGTTTGTACACATCACATATTTCTCAAACAAACGATGTGCCATCGGTTTTGTTGACGTCGATACTATGTCGGTTTTCACCTTGAATTTCTCGAGAAATCCAACCATAGCTCTACAAATGTTGAAATCTTCTTTTGCGGGGGTCAAAACATCTTGAACATATGTCGGATCTATTATAATAAAGTAAATGTTAGTATTTTTTTGTAAAAAACAGCTTTAATACCTCTTATTTAGGAGCCTGTATCTCATTGAATATACAACCAAATAATGCATTTAAATAGTGTAAACTGTAGTTTAAACTGTGAACTATAAGATGGAAAAAAATCGGGCTAATCGGACAAATAACGAAGACGTTATGACACTTTAAAGTTGGCTAAAAATTTGCAAACATGCTGAAACAGAAAAACTCAGCTTTAATACCCCATGTTTAGAGGCATGAATCTCACTGAATATCCAACCAAATAACACATTTAAATAATGTAAACTATAGTTTAAATTGTGCACTACAAGCATGAAAAAAAAATCGGGCTAATCGGACAAATAACGAAGACGTTATGATACTTCAAAGTTGGCTAAAAACTCGCAAACATGCTGAAACAGAAAATAAAAAGTGTAACTTTTCAAATTCTCGGTCTTTTGGCCCGAATAAGCCCTTATTCGGGTAACCCGGACCGAATAACCCGAAAACCGAATAAGCCTCTTATAGATACCCGAAAACCGAATCGAATTGCTTATTCGGGCCTAATTCGGTTCGGTTCGGTTCGGGTTTTCGGGCCAAATTCTCATCCCTACCTATAACTATGGTTCAACCCTGTATGAACAATCAAGATCTCTACTTCTGAAAGACACTCAAAGAAGAAGAAATTTTACATAGGCTTAATGAGATTGAAGACATTAAATGAAACTTGAACCACAAGGATTCCACAAATCTTCCTGAAAATTCAGTTGTTTTCGACATCCTATAACCCGACCTCGAGAACTTGAAATAAAAAACTTTCCAGTCAAAACTTTCGTGTATGCCGTAAGAATCTACAGTCCAAATTTTACTATCGACGATTCAATATTCAGGGATTGTCCGAACATTGAGACTATGTATTCAAAACTGGAAATTCTGAAAATTTAGGAGGGAAAGTGCGTTAGGGCTTTGGTGGAAAGCATAGTTATATATGCATGTCATTGGTCGGTTTAGGGCTGAAAGGAGAAAGTCGGTCATGAGGACTTGATCGCCGACCCCATGGGTCTAAACCTGGGATTTACACTTTTGGGCCCTGAAGAACCCATAGTGACAAGAATGACCCTTAAATCATAGAGTTTAACAATTTAAGTTCCAAGGTTGCCATTTTTAGTCCTTTTTTTAGATTATCATTCCTTTTTGAGTATTTATTTCTTGCATTAATACTATTATTTTTAATTTATAAAGTGCATTAATAATAAAATTAAAAAACGAATGTTGCAAATAATATAATGTATGAACTTGAAATTGTTAAATTACAAAGTGCTTAATTACCAAAGGCTTCCTAGCCCAGGAGTACCAGGTGTTGTCATCCTTTATTGAGTTCGAGGGTTCAAGTATCGTCTGAAATATAGATGGATTTAGAAGTAGTTTTATGAGGGGTGTTTGGGATTACTTTTTAAGGTTAAAAGTTCTTTTTGTAAAAAGACTTTTTGACTGGTGACTTTTTCTAAAAGAATTTTTTAAAATGTGTTTGCATTAGCTTTAAGGGTAAAAACCAACTTTTCAAGTTAAAAGTCACAAAAAGATAATATTTTATGACTTTTAAAAAAACAACTTTTCCTTCTATACAAAAAGTTGTTTTTAAAAGATTTTTTCCATTAGCAAAACATTTTTTAACCATTTTTTGACTTTTTTTGAAAAATTAAAAATAAAAGTTGTTTTAAAAGGAATCTCAAAGACGTTCAAAGCGTGGAAGTAGGTTATATTTGTGATTCCCAAAAAAAAAATATTTATTCAAAGGTACAAAAATTTCAGATGAATTTTAAATTATATCTAATCATTCAAAACTTATTTTCAGTTGTACAGATCACCTGTAATCCTTTTTAAAAAATCAAACAAATACAAAAGTCTTCGAAAAGTCCATAATTTAAATAACATCTCAAATTAAAGACGATCATACTCTACAATAACTTTGTGTCCACCACTACCTTCTAAATGATTTCTCCCTCACTTGGAGTGTGTTTATGTCTCCACCCACAAATCAAAAAGGTGTCTTAGACAATATTGATCTATAAATATGGAATGAATTCAGAACTAAACCCTAAGTGAAGTGCAAAAATGGCAGCTAATGCTTTTCATCTAATTGTCACTCTTCTAGCTTTCTCCTACCTTTTTTTCATGGCTGATGCTATCTTCATATCTGGTAGTTCTCCAAGAACTTATTATAATTATACGACCATGATTGATATATATAACTTTTGTACATGTTGGCAAATGGCAGGAAATAGTCATAGACATTTGTTGATGAACCAGAAAGAACAATTTATGGCATCCGGGGACACCAAGAACCAGGTACATTCTATACTATGGAAATTTGTGCATGTAATTAAACACATGTATAATAAAAAAGAAAAAATCTTGATTACTCCCTATTTTTGTTTTTTTTTTTTTTCTTTAAATGGATGAAACAGATGATGAATATGGAAGAAACTGCATTTCTGGAAGATGAATTCATGAGTGAGAGGATGGATTTGGAGAAAACCGACTATCCAGGACCAGGACCAAACAGAAATCACACTCCAAAACCACCCCAACGTGATTGAGATTGATCAGTGGCTCTAAAATTTTATGGGTGTTAACGTTTTTCATGACCGAATAATTAGGGTTTCAAGTGTGCTTCCAAAAATTAGGATTTGAAGTAAATGTTTCAAAATGATGGCATTTTATGGTGACATCTTGGTAGCGGTTCAGTGGCTTGCACGTGTCATGTGTGTATATCAACTATCAAGACCCTTGTAAGAAGGTATAAATTTATGAATAAATTTCTATATTTTGTTGTAAAAGGATCGACATGTAATATATATAGTGTATCTGTGTATGAATTGTTCGGCTTTTTTTCATTCTTAATTCTTATTTCAAGATAAATTGTTTTGTTTTCTGGACTTATATTGATTGGTAATCCGAAGAAATTAAGAGGAGGAAAATCAAGAAAGAAAAATTTCCTTCACAAATGATTTGAAAATTCTTTGTCAAATATTTGAAGAACTTTTAAGCATTCAAGCACATGTGATATTGAGTTTGGAGAAATATTGCACATCCAAGAAAAAAAAAAAGTTATCATATAAACGGATGAATAAAATCGAATTCTATCATTAATTCTATAAATTTCACTCAAAGATTCTTTTTTTATTTAGTGTTGCTGCCATGAAAATTTATTTAGTCTAGAGCCTAGCTACTTAAGCCACATGAATGAATGATTTAATTTTGTTTGGTTTTACGGGATACTATGGGAAATTAGTTAAAAGATATAAAATTACTAGCTAATGATCAATTCATGATTGATGAAACTAGAGCTCTCAAATTGATATACAAATCATCAACTGATCTTGGAATGATTTTTCCATTTCTTCAACTTATTATATGAAGAAGAACAGGCTTGCCTTTCCTTCTCCTAAATCATGAAGACTTACCTTAATTATGGCAATTATCACACCCAGTCACCCACCCATAAGAAGAAAATGGGTTTATGAATCCCGTGTACATAATTCAGATCATGAAGAACAAATTTTAATGATCAGTAAAAAGTTTAACAAAGCCCTATATTACAACTTTCAACCATTTGTTAACTTGTTTGTAAAGAGATCATGTAATGGTGACGTAGTTATTACTTGGATCGAGTTTCAGTTAACCAAACTCAAAGCACACGAAATGATGTTTTACTGTGCTTTAACTGCCAACTCATAGCTTTTTAAACACTAGATTACAAACTATATTGCCTTTGAATCGAGTTTAAAAAGTGCAAACCATGCAAAAAGAAATGTAAACAAACAAGCTTTTTCTTATTAATTAGGTATTGCATCTACATCAAATCATCAATTACATGCAATCAATTGCAAAGATGAATGATTTTTTTTTTTTTTTTTTTTTTTTTTTTTTTTTTTTTTTTTTGAAACGACAAATCTAACCTACTTCTAAACTACACTTTAAATCCACCTATGTCCACGACGGGACTTGAACCCTCAACCTCAAGGAGGGAGGGCAACACCGGATACCGCTGGGTAGAAGCCCTTTGGTAGATGAATGATTGTAACACATGAAAAAGTCAAACATATCTTTATGGAAGGCTTAATTTATTAAGTGTCTTAGCCGTACAAAAAGTCAAGGTAGAGCACTAGAGAACACTGTAGAAAGATGGGGGAAAGGTTAAGATGGAGCATTTATCTGTTTCTGTTTGTAAGTGGAGGAGGTGGATATGAGGTGTTGATCACTAGCTCATAGATATGTACAGTTGCTATTGCCCTATATATCTGAATACAATCATGATCTCCTTCATTACCACAGTTGGGAGAACAAAACAAAATTATTAAAACCCAATTATTTGATCCTGATTTGCTTATATAATTACTATGTATTAAGTTATGCATGAAACAAATCAGGATTAAATGGTATGGGAAGAAGTGGGAATCAGTTGAGGTGGGGACAATGTCTCTCTGGCCCCATCTTACTCAAAAGATATCTTTTTTTTTTTTCATATGCATTGCTTGTTTCTATCATTGTTTTATCTTTTCCCTTTCTTAGAAATCTTTGATGTTATAAATTCTAGCTCAATAGATGGTTTCATGGTAAAAAAAAAATTTCATTTTTTTTTTTTGTTAATATCTTCACCACTCTGTATAATTATGACATTTTTTGTAAATCCTTTTTCCATACATTCTCATTGTCATTGAAATAATAATAGCAAAATCTCATCCACTAAATTAATTGTTATTTATAATGTATTACAACATCTCAACTCAATTTAAAGAAACAAAATTCTTATCTCTTTATTTGAGCCACCAATATATATGCAACCGCTTGAGGGTGTTCGGTAAAACTAGTTGTTACCAGGTAGCTAGCTGGTAGCTGATGAGTGTTAGCTGGAAGCTAAAAGATGTAGTTTTTTATTTGTGCAGCGGTGTTCGGCAAAATAGTTGATACTATTTAAAAGTGTAAAATTATATAAAAATCAAAAACCAAATACTTTGAAAAATTATTTCAAATAGTTTTTGGATAAAAAGTTTTTTTTTTGTTTAAATTAAAAGTTAAAAGTATGTGATGTCGAACGAAGTTCTCTTTTTAATTCGATTTTTTTTTGTTAAAATCTAAAATCTCCTGAGAACTTCAAAAACTCGGGCCAGTCAAACATGCCTTTGATCTCCAAAGTACTAGTTTTAGGGTAATTTGATTTAGTTAACCAAATAAGGGCTGTCTCTATTTCATTTGATTTTAATTGATAATATTTTTACATTTTACTTTTACATGTTAATTTAATTATTTTGGTTACAATATCTATAATCTATAATATGTAATATGTTGGTATATTTTATGCCATGTACGTAGACTTTATTTTAACAAATAATTTGATTGTCCATGCTAAAACATACGTGAAGTTTAAACCTATAAACTTATAGGTTGTTTAAGACTCTATATGTTGTAAAAATAGGAGTGGAATCCCACACCCATTCTGTTTACCGGATAAACCAAGCTGAATATATAACCTGAAACTGATTAAATCGATTATAATTCGATGCGTATGCAATTATATTTACTTAATTTACAATATGTTAATATAACCGATCGATTAACCAAATGAATTACTGAAACCCAATTAAACCAGTCATATAACACTATTATTTCTAAAGGAGTGGAGGTGCAACAACCTACATCCGAAACCCCTTTATCACATGCATCCATATGAGACTTACGTTTTTGTAGTTGCTGTTGTAGATCTCGACCGAACATTTGTAAAATGATGTTTCTCCTCCATAAATTATGAAGAGAAAAGGTGGAACAATATAATGAGACATCATAAAAGATGTACTTTTATAATCACAAAAATATGACCTGGATTTGTCCATGATGAAATTTATAGACCTACTGCCCGCGGATATTATATTACACTTTCTGAATTTTGACTTCTAGTGTTCATTATTATATTTAAACAATTCTCGATGTCTTGTCCATTGATAATTCAGTTCATACTTCCATTATTTTAAGCTACCGATTACCCCTCACTTCTCTTTTCAAGATTAAAATTTTCATCATTATACCACTTTAATTATAACATAATTCAGATTCCATAAACGTCTAGAAACATGCCGATTGCAAACTAATTTCTTGTTCGATCTACATATCTGGGGACCTAATAGATTGGATTGGAGAAGAAATTAAGAAATTTTAAATGGATCTTTTATATTTGTTAGCTGCCCGGCCCATCTATCCATCTAGAGTTTGGGACCAAATGGGCTCAATAAGTATTCTATTTTTAGGATTACTTTAGTGGGTCAACTACTATTATTAATAGGGATTCCATAAATCGAGGTGCCCTGCACATAAGGTAAGGGTATTTCAAATAGAACTGGACCGATTTGATTTTTTGAACAGTGAGAAACCGGTTTAATTTAATATATCCATAAATCGAGGTGCCCTGCACATAGGTTTGGGATTGAGAAAATTTGGAGAAATCTTAGATATGTGTCTGTTGTGTGGAATTGAAGCTTGTTAATTATAAATTTTCTTCGATAAGCTTTTTCTTATTAATTTTAATGGTGGTTCTATGGGTTTTCTTTCATCCAATACAATTATAAATAGAAACCTTAAAAAACAAATTAAAAGAACTTTTCTGTGGTGTAGTGAATATATTTTCGACAAAATTTTAAGAATATCTATGTGGTCTATCAGTGGTCCAAAATTTTGATTTTGTTGCAAGTTTGGTCCAAATTTCCAAAAATTTTTATGAATACATATTTGTCCTCGGTATATTTACTTTTTCAACTTTTTTATTACAGAAAAAAAAAAATACTCACCCGACCTCTCTCTCTCTCTCTCTCTCATCTTTTTACATAGAAAATCGTAAGTAATCAGAGTGATAAAAAAGTATACCCTAAATCTGTTGTTCCACTTCCGCCTCATTTCCTTCAGACCGACCTTGATTCGTTACACAATCCTCCACCGTCCTCACTAGGGATGAGATTTAAAACCGGAAAACCGGAACCGTTAGAACCGGAATATATTGAACCGGTTCCGGTTCCGGGTTTAAAAATTGGTTTTATCCGGGTTCCGGGTAATCCGGGTTTGGGTCCATCGGGTCCGGGTAAACCGGGTCTAAGAACCGGAACCGGTGTTAAGAACCGAAACCACTTTTAGGGGCCGGAACCGGTTTCTGTGAAACGTTTAAAACATGATATCTCATTCGTTTTAAGTTGGATTGACATACGGTTTTTTCCAACATGTAGTTTAAAGTTTGTACATGATTTTAGACTATAGATTTGACATTTTTAATTTTATATTCATTAATTTACAGTCCCCCAAAGTCGAGATATCAAAGCCGGAAGTTTTTAGTTTTTCAACGTTTTTGTATTCTGTGAAAATTTTTAAACTTGCATATCTAATTCGTTCGAAGACGGATTGACATGCGGTTTTTTCCAACTTGTAGTTTAGAGTTTGTACATGATTTTAGACTATAATTTTGTCATTTTTGGTTTAATATTCAATGACTTACAGTCCCCCAAAGTCGGAATATCAAAGCTGAAAATTTTCAACTTTTCAGCTATTTGTTTTTGTACTTTGTATTCTGTGAAAACATTAACACATGCGTATCTCATTCGTTTAAAGTCGGATTGACATGCGGTTTGTTCTGGAGTGTAGTTTAAAGTTTGTACATGATTTTAGACTCTAATTTTGTTAATTTTGGTTTCATATTCAATGACTTACAGTCCCCCGAAGTATGGATATCAATATGAAAATTTTTAAAGTTCAGCCCACTAAGTAGTAAGTAATTGCCAAAAAAATTCCGGTTTTTTTTCGGGTTTTC